CCTCTTCTCTGGAGCTGAATAATGTCCCCTTTTTGTAAATCTTTAAGGCAGGGATCTCCCAGCATTAGTTCTTCACGCTGTAAAGATAATATACTTTTTCCAAATCAGAGCACTAAAACAATTCTAACATGCAAGCAGTTGTTCCAGTAGCTGAATATTCCCATTTTAAACAAATAAATTAGAAGGTTTACTAATTAAGCACACACAGTGAAGTGCGAAAATAAATGATAAATCTACTGTTTGTTTGTTTTTTAAGTTACCATTTATAAACTGACCAGCTTCATGAAGCCTTTTAAGTAACTTGACTGGCATTTCTGCGGATGTAAATAAATCTGCCATCCTAAGTATGAAACCCAATGCATGAAGCACATACAGGCATAGCTGAAAAGCACACTAGCATAGCAGTTAAGTACAAGGGCTCTGGAGCCAGACTGCCTGGGTTTGAATCCCAGCTCTACTATTCACTGTTTGTCCCGTTATTTAACTTTGCTGTGCCTCCCTTTCTATCATCTGTAAATGGAACACTGTATTCTTGGGTTGTAATGAGGATTAAATGAGTTGATATGCATAAAAGTGTTTAGAACAGTGCTTGACACAGAAAGCACTACCTAGGTTTCTGGAGAGGCCGGACACAAAAGTAGTGAAGAACGTGGACTCGAGAACCAGATTGCCGAGGTTTAAATCCCAGTGCTGACACTCTACACCTGGAGCAAGTCATCTAACCTCCCATACCCCGATTTCCTCCCAGAGTTACTCTGTGTACTGGACAAGGTAGGTAGTAACTCATTCAATCCTCATAGTAACTGTGTGAGAAGACGGGTATGGGAGGTTCGATAACTTGCTCCAAGTGTAAAGAGTCAGCACTGGGATTTAAATCTTATTATTGGATTGTCATAAAACCATTTAAGATGACCATCTTAAATTTCTTCTTCCTGAAGAATGATAAAAAATGTCCTAAATACTCGTAACACAGGTTTCACAGAGACAAAACCAGTCTTTTCCACAGAAATGTGGTTATACATTGAAACGTTGTCATATGCCTCTGCCTCAGGGATAGGAAAAGAGCAGAAGTTTTCCTTCCACACACACCCACACACACACACCCCACACACATCCACACCCCCACATACACCCACACAGCCCCACACCCACACCCCTCCACCCTCCCCACACCCCCACA